CCCCCTTCCTTTTTCCCCCTCATTTAGGTCTTATTTTGGGGTAACCCCACCAAGGATATTTTTTCTTGATTTGAGAGAGCGTAGAAGAGAGGAAGAGACACAGAGAGAAAACTTGATGTGAGACAAACCTCGATGGCTTCCCGAATAAGCCTGACAGCACACCGAGAGTGACCTTATGCCCTTCAGTGTGTGGACTGACACTCTATCCATTGAACCAACCCTGCTAGGGCTTCACTCTTATTTCTCTTCTGTATTCTAGGGTCCGTAAGGGGGAAAGCTATTCTGGCCTTATAAACACCGCCCCCCCCCCCCATATTTTTCCATTTTTGGTAGCAATTTTTTATTAGCAGGTGGAGATACAGGTTGAGTTTTTAAGTTGGAAGCCCATTTCACCCATTTTTCATATATTGGGGATTCAATACTTTTAGGGGGAATTTCAAGAAAAGCTTTAAAAACATACTTTATTTTTTTTTGGGAAAAAGTATTCTAATGCTTATAATTAATTTTTAATGCCTCTTGGTCCAGTGGTTTCACCCCTAAAAACATGAACATGTAGGTGTTTTTTCTTGGGACTGCTGGAGGGGACGTCCCAAAGCCTGGAAGGGTGCTCCTGGCATTTCGTGGAGCAGGTCCGGTTGCCAAGCACCCTGCAGTAGAAATACCTTGTCCCCAAATGACATGAGGCCTAGATTGCAAAATACCATCTTCCCTTTAATTCTTGGGTCATTTGAGTTTGAAGAGCCCTTTTGGAAGATTTTCCCTCCCTCCCAAGCTTCCTTTCCCCCTCCCTCCCTCCCTCCTTCCCTCCCTCCCTCCCTCCCTCCCTCCCTCCCTCCTTCTCTCCCTCCTTTTCTCCCTCCCTCCTTTCCTTCCTCCCTCCCTCCCTCCCTACCTGCCTCCCTCCCTCCTTCTCTCCTTCTCTCCCTCCTTTTCTCCCTCCCTCCTTCCCTCCTTCCCTTCCTCCCTCCCTCCCTCCCTCCCTCCCTCCCTCCTTCTCTCCCTCCTTTTCTCCCTCCCTCCTTCCCTTCCTCCCTCCCTCCCTCCCTCCCTCCCTCCTCCTTCCCTCATCAAAGGATTTAGAAATAATTGCTAACAGACTTGTACAAAAAGGCCTTAGGTGTATATTTGATCAGATATGGCAGAGAAATCCCCTCCTCACGTACAGGGTGTATACATGTCATAAATGGGTGGCTAGGACTTATTTTGTTGGGTCCATGCATTGTCTTAAAAACGAGAAAGGTTCACAGAAGTCCTTTGCTGGACAGGGGCAGTGTATTAGCAGTTGTACCAGGTCAGGTGGCACCGTGGTACGTGCCTGCCTCGCTGCCTCAGCCCTGGAGCCTAGGGGAAGTGCTCCCCTAGGGTGGGCATGAGCTATGCCCCTCCTGCTGTCTCCCCGAGTCCAGGCTGAATGCCAGGGCCATTCCTCACACTCCAAGACCAGGTCGTCCATCTTACTGCAAGACCCATGCTTTTA